TGAATAAGCAACCGATAGAGAAACACACTGTAATCATCTGTGATGGGTGAAGATACCAAGAAAACAACACCATTTAATGGTAATTATAAGTCAATTTGTTGACCTATTTCGTTAATAGTTTCATTAATTTTATCAGTCATATTACGTGATTGTCAAGTTATGACAATGCTTTATGACGATATCCTGAAACTATTAAATTTAACTAGTTATAGTGTTGATTAAGGATTAGTCAGTGGAAAAATAGGTATTGTTGCTTTAGGTGATTCAAAATCATCAGATATTTATAACGTTAAAGAATCCGAGACGCCTAATTTAATTATAAATTTTAATTCAGAAATATTCGTTTAGTGTTAATTCTAGTAGGCTACGGAGTTTTGATTTTGAACGTTTGTTTAGCCAACAGCTACTTGGGGATTTAGTTATTTCACTAGTGCAGTTGATAGTACCTAAATTTTTAATCTTATTATCTAAACTATGTTCGCATTTTAGGCTGCTAATATGATAAACCAATCCATAAACCCAAATACGATTAGCAACAACGACTATGATGGGTTTATTGATAAATGTTAAAGGCGATCCAGATGATTTCTAAATTTATAAGACATGGAGATATAGTGTAACGTATGTATGGGCCAGGTTAACATGCAGGTTGTTGACGTATATGACGATTTAAAAATAATGAACATGACCAGAAAATAATTTCAAAGTTTAGACTGCTTGTGAAACTTCAGGCAGGAATATGATGTTATAAACATTCCATAAGGAGTTACAGCATTTAGCCTAGGGACACTTACAAATATATAGCAAAAGGAACCGGAAAACATATACATGTTAAGTAAAAAAAATCATCCAGTAAAATAGTTGAACTCGCCTGGATTATTTTTGAAAATTAGATTATTCAGTGGACGACATATATAACGCCATTCGTGAGGAGTAGTAATGATCCAAAAGCATCCAGAATAAAACATACAGTATGGCAATCACTTCCAGGGTGCTTGATGCTGTTGAGGTCTTTGGGACTCGCTCTGATCAGAACAACTGAATGAATCCAGATAATTGTGTGTGCCATCTAAAATGAACTTATGATTGCAGAAAAATTATAGCTGGAACTCACCGTATGTTTTTGGAGTAGTCATCCTCGTTGTTTGGCAATGGAACTCGAGAATATGAAATTAGGCAGGCAGTGGTCAGAAGAAAAGATATTACAGGATAGTGCATCGTTTAAAACAGGATGAGGTGTTAAGTGAAGGAACACAGAGAATTAGATCCAGATAACTATTTACTCCTTGATCGCATTGTTAGTCAATGTATATTTACGCTATTTACAGGTCATATTTGCTAGAGCTTGATGTTTAAACAAGACTACGTCGCTGAAGCATGTAAATGCTATTACAGCTTGTTATCAAATCATCAAAGCTAATTAGTTAATATAGACGACCAGTTTTTATTATCGATTGAGCTAGTTTGTCATGAGGACTAATCAATATAACATTACAATGATGCATGTGAGCATTAATCAGAGGACTATTAGAATACAGGGTTAACATAAATATAAAATCGATCGAGAAAGTTGAAGTGGAAATAAGGATTAATAATAATAGGTTGCGTTTCTTTAGTTGGGCTCACCAATGTAGAATTATGGTCTACTATGATATTAGTACTGCTCTAATAATAGACCTAATCCTAAACTTGTCGATTTGTCATGATATAACTGTCTAATCTATAAGATCTTACGTTGAAGTCACACCATCGACTACGCCAACCCACTGTATCGTATCAATTACCAATACATGACGAAGAATAAGGTTAGGTTAGAGAAGGAACAATATATTTAATATGAATAGAGACCACGCCTGCATGGCCGAGCCATGCCACTCGATCAACTCCAGTCCATTCAATTCCTTGTTCGCGCCTTCTCCATTGTTAGGTATTTCTCCGCGTTAAATATTGAATATCTATTTTCTGAGTAGTCTCGTGTTCACAGCTTTGTGGATTGTGTGGCTATTGTCCAATGCCACTACAACCCTGCGTAGATAGGTTATCCGTTCATTTATAAAAGGCTCATGCAGCTAAACAAAACGGGGAATCTCACGCTTTCCAAATTGTAAGCATAAAGTTGTTATACATGAACGCCGCGATTTTACCGGATAAAATGAATGAGCTATGTGAACTCAGCGATGATATATATTCGAGACTTGGATATGTTCTCTATTTATAGACTAGGATCTAGCAAAAATCGGGATGTCTTTGTTTCGCAATGACAGAAAATGGGGAATTGGGGGTGGAGTAGAATTATACTTACGATCTTGCCCAGAGGTAGATCAAGTTCACAACCGGGAGGTCATCAATCTTGATGCAACCGTATGGTGCTCAGTAAGATTGCCTACCATCTGGAGGCGGCTAGTTGGAGTCATAGAAAGGAAGCCCACTGCTGGTAACGAGTACGACAATCGTATGCTGGAAGGATGATCCCGCTCTACTGGCCTCGGATTCACCCATATCCTGATTCTAGGGACTCCGATCATCCTAAAGTCGATTCCACGGAACATACGTATACTGGGGTTGAAAACTCTACTGTAGCTCGGTTCTTCAACTTCATTGAGGGTCTGGGATTACTCGAAAATGCGAAGTCCGCAACTTGTTGGAGAAACAGTCAAACACCGTAACGTTTGAACTGGATGATTACAAACGAAGAATTTCTTATTGACGATCTGTCAGTCCTGGCTGCCCAGGCGAGGGCGATCATATCATAGCTAAGACATCCCACCAATAACAGGCTCTGGATTTTAGGACGATTGAATGTGTCAGCTCTACAGAACAATCTACAGCAGGTTGATCGGGAAGTTCACCCTAAACATGATTTCGATTCCCACTGGGATTTCTTACTGCACACGATCTTATGTGCTACATGTCAGTCTGTCCCTCAAATGGTCTCAGAAATCTACAAGCAACCTGCAGATATTAAGAACCGCACTCTTCATTTTCTAAGCCGCAAAAGCCAATACTGGGCGGAATACAAACGTACTGGTAACAAAGGCACATACAGGCAATACAAACATATAAGGAACATATGCACAAAGGCAATAAGAGAAGATATAATTCAGTAGCAGAAAAAGCTTATTGATAAATTTGTCCTTATCCGTAAAGCTTATTCTGTTATGCAGAGTCTCCTCGAAAAGCCAAAACTGGAGTCTCCCAACTTCTAGGTCCTAATGGCCTGAACAACAACGACAACGATGCCGCTAACCTTCTAGCTGAACAATACTGTCTGACATTTCAGCCGACCCACATCAACTATATTGATGAAAGCTACATATGAAACTCAACGGGAACCTGAGCACTGGCTTCGTGTACTGGAAACTGCAGCACTTAAAAAGACTCATCTCCTGGTTCGGATATGGTTCATTACGCTATACTGAGGAGATCTAAACTGAGGCACATTACCGGAACTTTGGAAGCTGGCCCACATCCCATCAGTCTTCAAAGGAGGTTGACGCAGCGAACCTTTAAGTTGTCGACCGGTGGCTTTTCTTTCTATACCCTCAAAAATTATCGAGTCCCTGATATAGACCGTACACACGACTAGTTGATATCCTTAAACTTCTTTTCACCCCAACAACACGGTTTTGGGAAGAGTCAGATGGACAGATGGATAACCGTCCTTGATCGCAAGGGGAAGGTTGGCGTCATTTACCTTGACTTCCCAAAATCTTTTGTTGGGGTCAACCATATGTCTCATAAATAAGCTCAAAAGATTGGGTATTAAATTACCTGTAATTGATCGGCTCACTCCATTTTAAGGTCAGGGTTAACTTCAATTTCCCTTGTGCTATGGAATGTCCTGATGGGATCCCCCAGGGTTAAGTACTAGTACCTCTTCTTATCTTGATTTATATAAACGATTTTCCACAACAGATGTCGTCTGTCTTATTACATTTTGCTGATGATGTGAAACTTTGGAGAGAGAGGAACTCAACGGAGAGGATGTGTTCGCACTCCAGGAGGATCTGACTCGACTTCAAAATTGGGCAAATGACAACGGACTTGCCTTCAACACGTCAAAGTGCAAAGTAATCCATCTGAGACATGTTGCAAGCCGCAGCTACAACTTAGGCGACTTCTCTCTAGAAGCATTCCATACTGAAGAATATTTAGGAATTCTGATACCTACGATCGGAAATCTAACGCTAACGCTGACAAAAATGTTCTTCGAGCAAGCCTTGCACTGGTAACACTGAAGCGTGTTTTTGGCTTGCTTGACGGAATAAATTTCTACATATTCTTCAAAATATTCATTCGTCCCCGTTTAGAGTACGGAAACATAATACTTCTTCTCCCACTCTAAAACGATAAGGACACCCTGGAGCGTATCCCACGGCGACCCACGAAATCAGCACGTGGGCCCGTTTAAGTTTTATGAATGGCGTCTTCAATCACTAAATCCCTATCCATTAGAGTACAGGCGTCTTAGAGGTGACCTTCTAATGGCTTACAGTATCTTTAACACTTCTGAACATCCCGTTAAACACCTACTTAGGTCTATCTACAGTAAAAATTAAGAGGTAACACCCAGAAACTAGAGACGCAACAAAAGAGAATGGACTGCATATACAACTATTCCTTTAGGTTAGTCAAATGCTGAAATTCGCTGCCAGCCAAGCTAGTCCAAGAGTCTTTCCAGGAGTGCTTTAAGAAAAAACTTGACATATTCCTAAGGACTAAGGATAGTATCTTACTATGACTTACCAATATCGTTTTCTTCTTTTATCGTTAATATAAGTAGGTTCCTGCCTGGAGGTATTAGGCATGTAAGCCCGTTATGCGAAAGCTTGTTCTATTCCGTCCACAATCATTTGAACCATCTGATTACAAACAAAGGCTCATATAAATTGCGAAGTCATGGAGATGCAAACTTACTCCTGACTTACCTTCATTCTGATTTGATTCACTTAGACGGTCATTACACGTTTAAAGGTACAGTGTTTGACCTTTCATGGCGCAAATTTTGAAGTGGCGTAGGTTATACGTGTTGGCATCTGGCTATTTTTCTATAACTTACTAAGAGTCCACTCGGAGAAATTTAGTCTGTCAGTTCCTAATACGTTTCTGTCTCTATAATTTGTTAAAATTCTTACTGCTTACCGCAGTATTCTGAAATTCGTAGTTGATTATGACGTTTTTATTACAATACTTCATTGAAATTAATTACAACATAATTATACGGCTTACCAGTTAACGTGTATATACCTCGTCTTACTTTCATCGTACTTTGTCAAGATTATGTATGTCTTATTCCCTCCCCTGAGCTCCCGAGTTTGGGGAAATTTAGGAGTATTTTGGGGAAACTCCCAAAGTCAAATGAGCTTCACCAATGTTTGGAAAAATCCTCAAAAGTCGAATGACCTTGACCGAGGTTAAAGGGGGATTTCGGGAAAATATTAAGAAGTTTCCCCAGGTCTGGGGAAAATTTTGGGATTTTTGTGCCATTTCTCCAAAGGTCACTATAGCGGCTTCATTAAAATGGGTCAAATTTTCCCCAAAATCGGAAGCTCGAGCCAATCACACTATCTTGAGGGAATTTTGAGTAACTTTTTGGGTTTTCCCCAAAGTTTGGGGACAAACCTCAGTGTTATAATATTCTGTGGGAACATTGGAGAACACTCAAAAATTTCCCGGAACATTTTTGGGACTTTCTTCAAACCTTGGGAAATTTTGGGGAGTTTATGACATTTCCCAAAATGATGCATGGTTAGACATTTATTGGCAGAAAATAACAGTTTACAAGGAGACAGGTGCTCGTCACAAATTTTCTTTGTATGTCCTAAGTTCCTCAATCTACGAGTACCTATAAAAGTAATTACAGGTAATGCGTTGTTTATTGAGAATGTATTCCAATCCTTAAGTGCATGTGAAACCAGATACACTCTCATAACATACACTCAATTAGTTTCAGTATGGCACATGCAATTGAAAAAGTAAATGAATGGTAAAAGAAAACTTTATTAGTAAATTAAGTTTAATGTAAAAAATTCTAAAAATAACACCGTCTTTAAACTTCAGTGTTAATATTCCGAACCAAAGCAGTCCTGTAAATTTTGGAATTTAATAAACAGGAGTTTATAACAATGCTTATTTGCCAGTTTTTTCAAACTATTTACTTATTTGAACACTTAGACATTGGTACAAGGGGGAGCCAAATATATATATGTGCCCCACAAACCATTCGATTTACGTGAGGGCTGGGATACTGCCCAGACCGGAGCAGGTGGTTTTCTCAATGGGGCACTTCTGAGCCCTTGACCTAGAGGTATAATCCACAAGACAGTGGAGCGACGTTAGGAGATGCAATCCCATGGTAGCCGGTGACCAACAATAGGTTCATACCCCGTTTGTTCGCTCAGGATCCCGGGGCCCATGTTCACCATTGGTTTGGAACTAGGGTTTCCCAACTCCTCTAGGTGAATTCTCTGTAAACACTAACCCAGTTCAAGCTCTGGGCGTCCACTTCTCGTCCTCAATTTCGTAAGCAACACCCCAGCGGCGAGAAGGTAGTAACTAGGACTTCCCTAACAATGATTGTATACGCGTGAACATGAGCGAGTATTTCGAGAGAGCTGGCTCTTCCCAATCTCGGTCGCACCAGAGCATTTTAAACAAGTGACAACGTGAGACTTACGGCAATGTTCGACAATGCTGGCTACAAAAAAGACGAAGACCGTCAAAGGACTGCTGGGTCTGTAATACAGAATACGTATGTGCTTGCGCCTATCTTAATGCAGCGAAATCACATTGACTCATGAGTGTAAGTTAGTGACAAGGAAGCCAAAAGTAGATTCTAGGATCAAATAAGGTCACACTTAGGTAGTTCTGAAAACGAGGCTGACCCAGATGTTGCTTGGAAAGATATACAAACAGCTGTGGAAACAGCAGTGACTGATGAGTTCACCTAAACTCATCGCCCCCAAATGCCCTGGTACGGCCGAGAGTAGGGAGAGTCCGCTCTCCCTCTCGAAATGCTCTCACATGGCCACGCGTATATAGCCTCTGCCAGGGAAGTCCTACTCACTGCCTTCTCGTGGCACTACTGTTGTTTACGAAAATGAGAGGACGAAAAGCGAATGTCTGGCGCTTTAACCGGATTCCGAACCAATAGTGCACATGGGCTCCAGCATCCTGGGAGAACAAATGGCATATGAACCAATCGTTGGTCACCGGTTTTCATGGGACTGCTTCTCCTTACGATGCTTCACTGCCTTGTGGATCAGACCTTCAGGTCGAAGGCTCGGGGAGTGGCTCCCTAAGAAAACCACCTGCTTCGGTCTGGGCACCCGGGTAGTATCACAGCCCACACACACAAATATGGTGTTGCGCATATATATTTGGTGCCTCCTAAACTCATCACATCAGGCTCTGAACACGATAAAGAGCGTAAACAAATCAGATCTAGGTTAGCCAAAAGTCTAAAGAACGACTGTGAGCAGTGGTGGGCATTGCAAGCTATAGTTAATATGAAACGAAGAAAAGAAGCTGGTCCAGATGGATTGCCTCCAGAAGTCTTTAAGGATGGTGGTCTAATTTTAGCGATTAGGTTGACTAATATTTTAGCTAAAATATGAGAGTTGGACGTAATCCCACCTGACTGGTCACAATCACTGATTGTCCCAATATATAAGAATGGATCAAAATCATCCTGTGATAACCATAGAGGGATTAGTTTGACTAATATAGCACCTAAAATACTAGCATCAATAATCATCGGACGCTTAACTAAGATTCGTGAACTGCACACACGAGAGAATCAAGCTGGCTTCAGACCTGATCGTGGCTGCATCGACCACATATTCACCATTCGTCAAGTTCTAGAACACAGGCATACTTATCGGCGTCCGACAATGGTGGTCTTTCTTGACTTGAAAGCAGCATTTGACTCTAGAGACCGAGAAGTTCTGTGGCAGTATCTGTCATTGAAATATGTACCTCAGAAGTGCGATTTTGCAACTTCTCCATTCCTGTTCAATTTCATCGTAGGCCTACCGCTGGGAATAACGTCCTCGTCATCTGAATTTTCAGGAATCGGTCTTCTTCCAGGAGGTCCACTTATCGACTTAGAATATGCAGATGACATAGTCCTGTTTGGTGAGGATGCTGATAAAATGCAGTCTTCTGGTAGCACCGAGCGACAATGCCAGGATGTTTGGGATGCGCTTCTCCCCTCCAAATGCACGTTGTTGCTTCAGAACTTGCCTGCGTCAACACCTGAACTAAGGAAAGAGAGTGAAGTGGTCGGAGGTGTCAACAACTTCACTTATTTTGGAAGTCTGATCAGCCGTAGTGGGTTGGTGTCTGACGAAATCTCAGCACGGATCCGAAAAACTCGTCTGGCTTTTGCCAACCTACGTCACCTATGGTGAAGGCGAGATAGCCATCTATCAATTAATGAACGAGTATACTGAGCGGCAGTCCGTTCTGTTCTACTTTACGGCTGTGAAACGTGACCATTAGGAGTAGAAGATACTCGTAAGCTTCTAGTATTTGACCACAGATACCTTAGAAATATTGCCCGCATCTTTTGTGATCGTCAGATAAGTAATAATGAGGTTAGGTAATGATTGGTAAATCATTTGGTGTTTGTAATTCTTCATCGACTGAAATGTTTGGGCCACGTGTTGCGCATGTTTAAACATCGATTATCACAACGTGCAATGCTAACCGGTGTTAGGGATGATTGGAAGAAAGTTAGGGTTGGCCAAACCAAAACGTGGCATCAGTGCTTGAAGACACTAACTCTAGTCTGTGCCATGTTGGTAGAAGCAGACTACTTTGTTGGGGTCCGCTTGACTATCGTGACCAATGGTTGAAGACTCTCAGTAACATGGCTCAGAACCGACCATAATGGCGTAAGTGTATAAACTCCCTGTCTTCCCTTATAATAAGAGATTAAAATTGCTTCATATGTTTCTTCCTACGAGCTATTTCTTTCTTCCTGTACTATATTCTTATTGCAATCTTTCTTTTATATATTACCACCATTGACTTAACCACTCCTATGAATCCGGTGTTTATCTTGCTGTGCTAATGCTGTATGGCAACTTGGACCGATTCATATATGTGCCTGGTCCTACGTTGTAGCTGACTGACTGAATGTCAACTACTCTTAATTTGAATTGTGTTGACGGCAAAGGCTTTTTATTTTGTATCTTACGGTTGATTAAATTCACCAGTTAATCATCAAGCAGTCAAAACTGTTTATTTTCGTTCTATGTTTTAAAGCTATGGCCGAGTGTTTAGAGTTTGATTTTTTAATTCTCATTTTTTAGTGAGGTTTTTGCAAATAGATATTGTGATTAGGTATTAGATAGGTGTATGTTACAACCTAATACTTCGTTTTCTAGACCGATTTCAGATGAATCCATTAGTGTATTTCGGTGGCGATGTATTTGCATATCAAGTGACATGACTACTTAGATATCGGGTTTTATTTGTCACTTTGGTTATCCAACTAACTTGTTGTTTCTTATATTAGTACGTGGCCAGAACTCTATTCCTCATTATCTTACACGAGTTTCTCAAAAATATCAATAGTGATGTATGTTTTGGGAATTACAGTTAATCAAAACTATTCTTAGTGCAAAAAAACATTCAAATTCATGCGTTTTTTTAGAATTGTTTGCTAAATGATGTTCTCTAGTGTTTTCTGGTATACTAAGTCATTACTTACTTTGTGCTAAGTTAATCAAGTCTTTAATTGCTATTTCCCTGTTCTTAGCAGACAATGAAGCACCTCTTTCTACCACTCAAGATCGCTCTTGCCGCTAACTCTTTTAGCGTTCTCTTCAATGTCATCAATGATTGCGATGAAACATATAACTATTGGGAGCCTTTACATTTCATTTCAACAAACGGTGAAGGTGGTGGCTTCCAGACATGGGAATATTCACCTTCTTTTGGCCTTAGATCTTATTTGTACCTATGGTTCTTCGGTTGGCCTTCTTATTTATCATTCTTTATGGGGTTTCCAAATTGGCTTGCATTTTTGTTAGTTCGTTTTTTTCTAGGACTAGTTTCTGCTGTTTCTGCTAGTTTACTTTCTTCCACGGTAGCTACTTACATCTATTCGAATAATCAAAAGCAAATTGGCGAGCTAGACCTAACCAAAAGAAAGGTATTATTCTCTTTTCTGCTATCATTTTGTTGTTGTATATCCCCAGGAAACTTCCTATCGTCAACAACGCTTCTCCCTAGTGGACCATCCGCTTCTTTAACCGCTCTGATGTTGGTATTTTGGTTAAAGCGTTGTTACTTCTTGGCTGTTGGATGCGTTGCTTTTACGGGTCTTATTGTTTGGCCGTTTGCCGCCGTCCTTGGCATTCCTTTGGCAGTATATATGATGTTTAGCGGGAAAATGTATCGTTTGGTTAAGTTGGTAATCTTGTGGACGTTCCTTCTTGTTCCCCCTCTCGTCCTTGTTGATTCCTTTTACTTTGGTCGTTTCATCTTAGCACCTTTTAATATAATCCGCTACAATTTATTCCCCCAAATCAAACAACAGTCTGGAAGTGCTTCGCAATTGTATGGGACGGAGCCCATATCATTCTACATCAAAAATTATATTTTAAATCAAAACTTGCTGTGTATTTTCGCCCTGCTGTTACTACTAATCTCTGCGGTAAAATACATCTTACGTCCTTTGTTTCAAACAAAAATTGTCTCTGTAAGTGGGCATTCTGATACGAATACATCATTACCTGATATTCGCTTGATTGTATGCAGTTCTTTGGTAATTTGGAATGGCATATTTTTTCTTCAGTCTCATAAGGAAGAAAGATTCCTGTTCCCGTGCTACCCTTTTATTTCAGTTGCGTCGGCAGTTTTCATGTTAGGGCTTATCGAAACTTTTAATTCCAATACTAGGCCTACATACATTAGACACATAGCTTTGTTCATTGTGCTTGTTTCATGTTCAGTTACATTTTTACTGACTGTCTCTCGCATATTTACCCTTATACGTTGGTATAGTTCTCCAATCTTTCTAGTCAAACACATTCCCGTTCCGTCATTTCAGTCTAACAAACCTTTGTTATGTATAGGGCGTGAATGGCATTATTTCCCAAGTAGGTTCCTTCTCCCGGGAGGCGCTGAGAATTGGCGCATTGGATTTGTCCAATCAGCATTTTCTGGTCAGTTGCCAGGTCAGTTCGCAAAACCTTTATCAAATGGTGTAGTGTCAAGCTCTACAAGGATTGACGGGAGTCATTTCAACTCCGAGAATGTAGAAGAGATTGATAGATTTATCACGAACGAGTCTAACGAATGTACTTATATTTTGGATCGGGATTCTCCTCCTGGTGTACGTGAAAAATGGTATGTAGCGGACCAAAAGACTTGGTTTTCTCTTGTTAACCGAACTACTATTGAGCCTAATAATTACAATCCTGACGATAATTTGCTTGGTCAGAGTTTAACCTTCCTTCGCCAATTTCTAAGAATTTTTTACATTCCTATTCTTTCAGAAAAAATAGACCACAGAATTTATTTGCATATTCTTGCTCGTTATGGTAACGAACTGACTGTATAACTTGTTTCCGATCTCTAACTCTCCTTCCTCTACTTTTTGGAAGGTTGCTATGATGTTTTTATTGACCTGTTCTTTTATATGTCCACTTCCTCTCCTTTCATGTTCAGTTCATTTCAACTTGGTTCGTGTATATGTTTGTAACAATATTAAAGATGGCTTGTTTATTTTTCCACTACTTGGTTCACTTAGAAACAAATAAATGAAAAGACATTCCTAGTTCTTGGAGTAGATTCGATCAGTTCATTTATTTCTCACTGTGATTATCATTTCTTTCTGAATGACTGGATCAGGCCATTCGTTTGTTTTTCAAGTGTGTAGGATCAAATTTTATGTATAAACAAATCATCTTGTTTGTCGTAATTGAAGGGACCTATTTTTAAAACCAATATTCTCTAAAAGTGCTTGACACAGCTCCATCAATAATTAAGAGAAAGCGTACCTTTATTGATATAACGCGTTCTTAAGAACCTCATATATGAGGTTGCCGCTATTGTTATTTACTATTTTACCATTCATTTGTCTCTGAACTGATTGAAACTCGATTAAGATGAGTGGCTTGTTAGTTTCAGATATAATATCCAGTATTTCAGTAAGATTAACTCTGCATTCCAAGTAAGTACTTTTGTCAGTAATGTATCAACTCATATTTCGTCTTGAAAGCTACTACTGGAATTCGCAATGAAGCGCACAATACAAATCAGGTGTTGTAGTTAGGAAGGAATCCCGGCTTGTAATTCTAATTGTATTATTCGTCGTTGTTTTCTGTCCACTTATTAACCAGTAAATCTTGATACTTGATATGTCTTAATTTTCCTGTACTTTCGATACCAGCGCAAGTACGTAAAGTTAGTTTAAACTGAACATAATGATCTACAAAGAAAACACATTTCAGGACTGACTTTATGCCGAATTAGTTGTAACTTTTGTTTTCGTGCTGGGATATGTAAAAGTATTAATGACTGCACCAAAAACTTTATTATATTTTAATATACCGAGAAAAAATTCGATATAACATAACATCAGCAGACATCCAGGTCCGTTTATCATCAGCAATAAACTCAGAACATGATGTGAGCTATCTTGAATTCTAGATTAAGACTGAACAGCTTCACTAGGTTCGTCTGCTTCAGTTTGCAAAACTTGTTCTCCTTCCCTTTCAACAACATCTTGCTCATCGTCGCTTGATACAGGACGTTCTTCTTCCTCATCAAGTACTATTTCATTCTTTAACTAAAAAAAGATTGTTACGCGAAAATACTGATAAGGAGGCTGAGAGACATAAGTGTAGTTTTGAGATATTGACTTGGGGACATATAATCATGGTTATTTTATTGATTAGTGAAGTTTATCCAAAATTATGACCGAGGTTTGGAAATTATGTTCTATAGAAGAAAGATTTACTTGGAAAACTCAATATCATACTCCCACTTTCACAGTCCGGTCCACTATGTAATTTAGACATGGATTTATATAGTTCTGTTAATATTCGACATTTTAATCATCGTAGTTTGATTTCTTCGGTGGTCCAGAAGTTTAAAAGGTTCATGATCGAACATTATTGTTTTTCCTTACTTTAGCAAATCTTTCCAAATAAGAAAGAGATTTGTCTTACTGATTCACTCCTCCTGAGAATCAAGCACAAAATAAATTTTGTACAAGATCCAGTCTCAGCAAGTTCTATGTTAATAGTATTGACAAAACTACAATATTATCAGTAACTATCAATCTGTGGCTTATCTTGTTTAAAACGATTTAGCGGAAAATAATGCCTTTCAAAGATGGTTCATTCTTATTATCGAATATCCAGTCTCATAAAATGTAAGGTTCATCAGAAGAAAACTCAATATATATATATATATATATATATATATATATATATATATATATATATAGTAGGTGATAAGACCTCAAAACATTCATCGAGATAATCTTCGCTCATGTTCAAAGAGAAGGGCACGAATTCGGTTACCATGGAAAACACTGACATCTGCTAAGCAGAGTGTTTATATTCACATTTAACTAGAATAATGAGTACTTTAAGTAATGACCCGTAGATGGTCGGTCCAAATAGTGAAATGTAGTCTTTTTAAATACTTAAAAAGTCCTGATACTGATAAATAATAAAATTAAGAAGCGCCCGACTGAGTGCTTTTCAAAAGAAGTTAGCTAGATCTACCTGTTTATTGCTTGCAGTTTGTGCAGATTCCATAGCAAGCTTTTCTCTTAGCTCACGTTCTTTGAGTTTTCGTTCAATGGTTTCAAAAAATTGTTCTTGTGTTGAACGTGTAATTTCTTCCACTCGTTTTGTGTCTAATTCTTCTTCATCAATAGCAGTTGTCTCATCCTGTGCAAAAGAAACTGATCTTTACCAAAAGATTAAGGTAGTCGGAATCAGATAAAGCAATTTATGAAAATAGAGCGTGTAGTGTTATAATCACATAATTATCAATGTTTAACAGGGGTTCGGATAAAGTCGTAAGCAAATAAGGCTTAGTTTTTTTTGTGTCTTGGTTCAGGATGAAATAAGGGTATATTTACGCAAAATGTTATTATGTAGATAACATGTAACAACTTGTTCTTGATTATGATTCGTACTCATTTCGGTTGTCGCACATTGAACCAACTGCATTAGTGTCGGGAGCTGCTGTTTCACCATTCTTATCCATCGGAATTATATGACTGTATACGCAAGTATAGTTAGTTTCTCGTGTACATGTTAGTAAGAATGATCCCTATTCTCTGAAATCCTAGAATAAACAGGCAGATGTGAATGCCTTAACCTCTTAAAAACGTCTTAATCACAAAGTCTGTTCTTTACGGGTGACTAAGCGCAGTTGATGTATTAGAGTACGATTTTGCCAAACCCAGAAGTCTCAAAAACGATAACAAGTTTATGAGTATCTGAAATGTTATCTACCATACAACGTAAAACCCAGTATGGGAGCGCGTAGAGTAAAGTTATTGTGCTTCAAAACATGCGATGAGACCAACAAGATTATTCAGTCAGACAGGGTATTTGTCTTGAGGGGCAATTTAATGAAGGCCTATAAATTGCAAGTGATAAGGGGGTTAAGTGATTACTCTGATGATCCAGAATATGGGTACTGTTACCTGATGTATACACTCAGTGTTTTCATTCATACCCACGACTTAAAAAGTCTTCATCACTGGATTGGCTCGGGTTGACAGTTAGACAATTCATATGCGTTACAAATTCGAATAACCTTTAAATGACTAACTGTTCTTGGCTCGACCATTTTTTCGAATCACTTCTGAAATATAAAAAGTGGTCTCTATTTGTAGATATCCAACCATGATACAAGCTTTGTGGCTTGAGAGAATTTAGCCATCGCGTAAATGACGTCTTTTGGGGTGATGTTTTCATTCCTTAGTGAATAAACAGGTAAACATGACTATTGTTGCTGTCTTTTAGAAACCTCGAGTGGGGAAACAATGGCAACAGATTTTCTTCTGATTCAAGGTTCGGTAATTAGTTTTCTACGTTGTACATTGATTTGAAATAACTAAGTGTCAGGATTTATCAGAGGCTGTTAGGATGTGTTTACTGTATAACGAAATCGCCCCAACATCACTTGAATGTTTTCTTTGAGTTTTCATCAGCAACGTTTGTTACTCTAAGTTTATCTTTAAACAACAATACTGATATCAAAATTTACTACTCTCACAGCATTTAAGGACCAAATGATCGTGGGGACATCTGTCTTATTTTCTCAAGTTTCATTTTAGCAAGTTTTGATCGGGTAGTTTGCCAATAAAGCACGAATCTTTAAAATAGTTGTGAGTGAACATCAAAAGTGGGAAATTTCACTTGATGTTAATATCGCTCTTCGTTCTCAGTTATCTTTAAAAAGGATAAATTGAAAGTAAAAGTGATTTTCCCAATAAAGTCTGGTTGTTTGCTACGAAACTTTATTATAGGGCGTTTTGTTAATAAGACAATACCATCATGTTCAACTAAAATGTGGAAAGAACTTCCAGTTTTAAGAACCATCAACTGGGCACGTCGAAACCGTGTGCTTTTAGTAGAATGACTGTGATAAACTTTTCTAGGTTTTCTGCTCTTGGTAATACTAGAAATATTAGTAAGAACTTTAGTGATTGGTTTCTCTGGTTTGTATTCATTGCTGACGAAATTTTCGGAATTAAAATATTTCTTAACTGATACGATCAGTGGAATGCTCAATAGACCATTTCTCTTTTCTAATAATAGATAAAAGAACAATGAGTAGAATTTTTATAATAGAAAGATAACTAGAACCCCACAGTTAGCTGGCTACATGACATCTTGAACCCATATTATCAGTTGGGGAAATAATTGTTAACATATTAGTCTAGTGAGTATGGTTCCATTAGAAATACTGTCTATGTGTCTTTGGTGGTACGTATGCGTTTATCCACTCCGTACTTTTTACGACTTATAAGGAAAGTCGGTGTATTGCCGGAATCGAATGCCTAGTGCATTTGCCGCATTTTTGATAGCTTTTCTGCCTTTCAGTATTAACAAGTCTGTAACACATATGTCGAATACGTATCCTATCCGAATTTTATCTATGGTGTATCAATGTGATTTGCCGACGGAATATACACGAGATGAGATATGGATTTCATTAGTGCAAAATGTATTCGATAAACTAACCCACCAATGATAACATGGAACGCCCACCACCACATTAACTTTCTTTGACCTTGTATGACTATGCTTTGCTTACTCACCAATCATAATTTTATGTTTATCATGGGAAATATTAAGTTTGTTGACTCATTTTTCCTATTCTCTAGTTACTGTTCAGTAATTGTATTTATGTCTCTTTTCCCTGTTTAACAGATATTAACACAGTTGGATGCCGACTCAGTGGTCTAGAGGTTAAGCGATCGCGCACGAGACTGATAGGTCCTGAGTTCGAACCTCATGGGGCGGGATCATGAGTGCGCACTGCTGAAGAGTCCAGCGATGGGACGAAACGGTCTTCCAGTGCTTCAAGGTTTTCCATAGTGGTCTAGCTTCAATCGACTCAACCATTGAAATGACTATACTAATTGCTTATTTTGTATACTAACAGTGTTAATCTACGTTTTAGAAACAGACAGTTTATCAAACCAAATAGCATACTTGTTCTAACTTTGGCTAAGCTAAGATTTGTGCTCGGCAGTCTAGAGAACAGTTTAGAATTACATCTATAAGAAATTACTTCCTACAATCTACATCATTCTCGTTCTGTCGTACTGTAATCAGACTCGAGTTCAAAGAAAGAATTGCGAATATTAAGTTTATTTATTAACTGACTTCTAATATATAATATAGTTGCCCAGATTGTATGCTAATAATTCTAAAGGGGTATTTGGAAGCATCTAAATCCAATGTTGTTTAGGACAATTATATTAACGCTTTCCAGAACAAGGCTGTTCTATTTTCTAATGCGAATATTTGTGAGTGAAGATTCTTATTAATAGACTTTTTCAGAATCATTATTCATGTTTCTGTCTTCTTCGGTTAGGATGAACGATATATTTTATTTTAATATGGTTTTTATTACATATATTCATAGGTAAACTCACTGTCCCCTGTGCTTTTTGTTTTCGTAGTTTTATTTCTCGATTTCTGGCCTCCAGAATCTTCTCACGATGGGTTTCCCTTTCAAACATGGCAGTGACTAATGACTTCTCGTTTTTAGGCTGATTCCAAAACCCTTCAGAGAGTTCTAGGATCGTGCATATTCCACTATGTGATCCTGTTGCAACAAGTCGACCTTGTTCTTGGACTTTGAGACAATGGAGTGGTTCTTCACATATCTACTATTTAGAAGCAAAATATATTAAAGCATTTTAGTTGGCTTTTTCTACAATGAACATGTTGCAATCAATTTTTAAGTTAAAACACTGATCTCTATTTAGGAAGTTTTTATTATGTTTTTATTATTCAACTTGCTACAAAGGTAGTTTCACAAAATCATTTATTAAACACTGGGTTTGTTTTGGGAGCAGGTTTGGAAATAATTCGTTTCATCAGTAGTGCAAAAGCAATCCCTGATTTTAATTAATTGTGCGACAATCGTACCTTCCAATTTTACCCTTGCTTCTAATCAGAGTGGGCAGCATTATTGTGTAAATGTTAATCTAATCTTTCGAGGTTTTAAGTGAAATCTGACTAACAAATGAAAAAGCAAAATCTAGTCAGTTATAACGTTTGTAATGCGTAAGACAACTATTATTTTAAGAGTTTTCATGTAAATAATCTCTTTATTATACGGTACGTCTGGATCTTGCAGTTTCTTGTTTCGAAGTTTGATTTTTCAAACGAGTATCATTTTCTGTGACTAATCAGACAACTGACTTCAGCTGTCATTCTATAAGTATTTGCATTAGAAGTTTCTTTATAGTTATAGTTTTTTAAAACACAGAACTAAGAAGTCTTACGTTCACTTGTCTTTAAAATAATAGAAATAAATGAATCAAAAACGATGTCAGAAGCTCTAAATCTATGTTAGTCAAACAATGCAGCGATTTGAATTTCTGGTTTTCGGATCCCTTGAAGAAAACCTCATCAACCATAATGTCGGTTTGTTCATTCCAAATATTAGCATTATTATGAATAGATTAGAAAAGTTTCATGAATCTTAACACCGAGGGACCCAGAATATGCATTATTAGTCGTTAATAGTGTTGATTAAAAGTGATGAGAATTTCCATTAACTATCTATTTAATAGATATGAGAAAAAATACCAGTCATGACATTTTTGCGACTAACCTTGGATATTTTATACTGAAATCCCCTAATACATAGATTATAAAGCTTCTTTATGTAGTACATTACTAAACATTTAGTTATCGATACTTTCAGTTTGTGAAAAAAAGCCTGAATAATTGTATTCACCCTCACTTCAGAAGCCAATTTAATGGTGATAGTGATTTTCTAACTATTCACTGAATTTACTTTATCGGAATAGATATTAAGAACAGCTTTTGTAAGGTGTTGAGTGAAGAAAGTCGGGATAAATGTTTATAAGTGAAAATTACTGATTTGAAATTACGTTTATTCAATTTACAATACATTTACACTATCTGTCAAGATTTTTATCTATTCAAATACTGAATTTTATGGTATTTTTTATGAAAAAGTGTACATTCTTGGACTAAGTATATTTTAAAAGTTGTACTGACTTCATGGATAAACACAATACCTCAATAAGATTTGATTTAATTTTCTTAAAACTTCGTCTAAATTTAGAATTTATGGTGTATTTTTCATTTGGTAGGCAAGCAATAGAATAGGTTTCTGTTCTAAAATACACTTCAGCCATATTATGCGTGATAAAATATTACAGTGTTATGGTAAATTGAATTCGTATTCCGCTAAAGCCTTTATTAGGTTATAGGAATTTAGTTGTTTTCTCAACCGAGGTGTGTATACGAAATCAGTTTATAATTTGGTTAAATCTACACATAATATTTCTCTCAGTGCTAAATATCAGGTGCGATGTAAATGATGTATTTTCAACACTACGGTTCTCAATGTTACCTTTTGTCTAATTCGATCAAATCATTTGAAGACTTAAAGTGTGATCCATTGAAAAATTTCATTTTGCTACTATGTCGCGCAGTTCTGATTAGATCCTCGTAGCACTAACTAAATTTACCAGAGGAACCAACTAGTTTGTTGATCTCAAAGTAAGGAGACATACGTATGCTTAATATTATCTATTTGAAATCAAGTCATAAATATGTATTTTCGTTATACTTGGGATCTGAACACTACATTAATTTTAATAAGATACAATCCGTCAATTTTTCCCGAATATAAAAGTGGGAGTGAGAAGGAAAATAGTCACACAATCGCTTGATACAGCCTCAAATATATGTCTTAAATAAACAGCGCTTTCTAAATTTTAGTTTTGCTGAACCCAGGTAGCTAATTTTTGGGATCATATTCATAAGCTCACATTTTGGCTGTAATAACGAGCTAAATGAGTACTATGCATTGGTTCATTATGTGTTATTTTTCATTGCACAAACTTCTACTAACATTAGTTAATGACGAACGAATAGTGAAAGTAAAATAATGGGATTCTGTAAAATATCAACAGTTATCCACCAAATTAAAAAAGACTCATTTAGCATACCTGAATATTCAATGCAGGTTCTTTCTGTTTGAATATAATATCCCATATACTAAGTGTTCCATCCAAACGTGTAGCAAAAAATACGGCCGGTCGGATAGGACTCCAGCAGCCATCCGACAAACCGTGGTTGTGATTAGCTGTCCACATTATAGGCGATTCTCGAATATCTTCTGACCATATTCGGGCAGTCCAGTCTCCAATGCTAAGAAAGTTCTTGGGGAAAAATGGGTTCCTTTGTAATGCATAAATAGGTCCGATATGTCCAGGATAAACAGCAACGATTTTTTCCGCAGGTGTTTTACCTTTCCGATTGCAGGAGATAATCATTCCCTAAAAATTAAAGGGTCATTTCTAAGTGGACGTTCCTCATTCTTTCTGTCTTATTTAGTAATATATAATATATATATATATATATATATATATATATATATATATATATATAATGACTTTATTTCTAAGCAACCTATAAGTTGTATAAGGAATAAATGATTATTAATCAACGTGCTTCAATGGTCTTCTCTAGACGACTGGTGTATGCATAATCAATCATGTTGTTTTGTCACAATCTATTAATTTAGGTCTCTCATCCATAATTCATTATCACATAGAGGTACATGTAGTCTGGAAAACGCTTAAGCAATAAGTGAATTTCATTTATGTCACGCTTTGATTATTTTTTAGGGGTTGAGATTGGCCATCTAGACGGAAATCCATGTTAATTTGTCGTAAATGTATTGATCTATCAAACGTGTATACTTTTATTTTCTAGCGAATACGAGGTTTAGTATGTAATATGAGAAATATCGTACCCTGCCTTATGTGCCTGAATCACGTTATAAATATTTACAGAAACACTGAAAACTTCATTCCATATTTCCTTCAAAATTTGTTGCGATGATCTGGGTTAAGTAGTAGAGCTTCAGTTATGTATTCAATTTGTAACGTTTTCCGTTTTTGACCACAAATTCGGTAGAATCAGGTCGGAAAATTTCGTTTGTCATGTGTTGCTAGTAGGCAAAGATATCAAAGCATTGTATTAAAAAATGGCTGTTTCAAGACGTTTATTTAAGTTATCAAGCACCATTTTTATGAATAATGAATATGTTTAAATAAGTGGCGAACACATATGCATATAAGGCAACGTTTTGACAGTGTTCACAATCAAAATGGAATAACATACCATGAGATTGAATAAGGTCATATAGTCAAATGATCAAATAAACATATCACATATTTAAAAGATATTTTGGGACATAAATCGTTATCCAATATAATAATATTGTGTATAGGGTTTTACTTCCCATTTATTTAGATAAATTCATATTAGTTTGGTATCAACTAATGATACATGTAAAAGTAATTAGATGATAAGAAGTGAAATTTCATAAAACCGAGCATGCCACATTCGTTAAATACAGCGAGAAACGAACGATTTGTGATTATTAGTGGATGTAATAAAAATTGGGTTGTTAATAATCCATAACACTCCTCGATTATAGAGACAAAATCTTACTCAGTCAGTCAGGTACAACATAGGAACAGGCTTATATTTGCGTCGGTCCAACTTGCCAAAATTCATTAGTACAATCAGATGAACACCGGATTCATCGAAATAGTCACTTCAATGGTAGTAGTATAAAAAATATTGTGTATAAAGATATAGTACAGTGAGAAAGAATTAGTTCATAGAAAGAAAGATGTAAGACGAATTTAATCCCACAATGGAAGAGGGGACAAAGAGTGTACACACCTACGCCATTGTGATCGATTCTCAGCCATGTCACTCAGTCTCCAATCATTGGTTACGACGGTAGCGCGGACCACAACCAAGTAGTCTACATCTACCAGCATTACTCGGACCAGACCTTAGTAACTTCAAGGACTAATGCCACGTTTTGGTTTGGCCAAACGTAATCTTCTTCCATTCGTATCCAAAAATAGTCAGCATTACACACAGTGAAAGCTGGTGGTTGGGCATGCGTAACACATTGCCTTAACATCTCAGTCGATGAGGATTTACAATCACAACGACTGATTTACCATAATTCCCTAATACCCTGCATCTAACCTCACTATTACTTATCTGACGGCCACAAAAGATGCGGGCAATATTTCTAAGGCATCTGTGGTCAAATACTAGAAGCTTACGAGTATCTTCTACTCTTAATGGCCACGTTTCACAGCCGTAGAGTAGAACAGAACGGACTGCCGCTCAGTATACTCGTTCATTAATTGATAGACGGCTATCTCGCCTTCACCATAGGTGACGTAGGTTGGCAAAAGCCAGACGAGCTTTTCGGATCCGTGCTGAGATTTCGTCAGACACCAACCCACTACGGCTGACCAGACTTCCAAGATAAGTAAAGTTGTTGACACCTCCGACTACTTCACTCTCTTTCCTTAGTTCAGGTGTTGACGCAGGCAAGTTCTGAAGCAACAACGTGCATTTGGAGGGGAGAAGCGCATCCCAAACATCCTGGCATTGTCGCTCGGTGCTACCAGAAGACTGCATTTTATCAGCATCCTCACCAAACAGGACTATGTCATCTGCATATTCTAAGTCGATAAGTGGACCTCCTGGAAGAAGACCGATTCCTGAAAATTCAGATGACGAGGACGTTATTCCCAGCGGTAGGCCTACGATGAAATTGAACAGGGATGGAGATAGTAAACAGCTTGCCAGACACCACTTGAAGTTGCAAACTCGAATGACAGTTCGCCATAAGCTCTGACTCAACTATTAGTGTTCGAGCAAAGAGCCCTCACAAGGTTTATGCACTTCTGAAGTACACCTTTCAATGACAGACACTGCCACAGAACCTCTCGGTTTACAGAATCAAATGCTGCTTTTAATTCATTGTCGAACGCCGATAAGCATGCCTGTATCCTAGAAACTGACGAGTGTTGAATATGTGATCGACGCAGCCACGACCAGATCTGAATTCAGCCTGATTTTCTCGTATTTTCAGTTCACGAGTCTTAATTAGGCGTCCGATAATTATTAAGGCTAGTATTTTAGATGCTATATTAGTCAAACTAATCATTCTATGGTTGTCAGAGGATGATTTTGATCCATTCTTATATATTGAGACAATCAGTGATTGTGACCAGTCAGGTGGGATGACGTTCAACTCTGGGCTATCCTCGATTTCAGAACTACCTAAGTGTGACTCTAGTTGTTCTTAGGATCTACTTTTGGTTTTCTCTTCACTTTATTCAATTCTTATACGTCTTCTTAGTGTGGCCTTTCTGCGTCCAGTGAGGTGCTAGCAGGTATTTCAGAACGAACGACAATCTTCTATCGACCCTTTCCAACTATAACTAATGGCAATATGGTATATTGGTGTCCATTGTTGGTTTGGTGCAGGGGGCCGTCATATTAGACGATGTATCTCCTTATGCTTAAAATAGTGCTCTCTCTGATATCTCTGCTTAAATTAGTGCTCACTATAAATAAATGATTGTCTGAGCACAGTTGAGGAAGACGATCACCATTATCTGTTCGCTGAGCCGGAACACTAAAATGCCCATTTAAATGTGTTTCTGTTTCGTTTAAGCTACTTACTTGGGCATTAAATTCACCTACTACGAGTACTATTTCTGAGCGTGAAAATCATCTTTCACTTCATCCGGGCTGCCATTAGTGGGTGCGTAGGCAGAAAATACGAAGAGGCAACGACGTGTGTCCCTATCCTACCGAGTTCTTACGGAGCCGTTTAGCCGAATAGCACATAGACGACTGTTAACGGGGATTCACTCTAATAGTGCTTGTTCTGACCTCATACTTAGTGCTATACCTACACCTGCCGATCCATGAGAACTAGCCATCGGGTCGCCAGATCAACGGAGGGTGTATCTCGTTGGCTCTACGTTTTGGAGAGGCGAGATCAAGTGAATGATCACATTAGGATCCTGTATGCGTGTTTCGGAGACAGCACACATCGATGGTACGAGATTCTAGGGTTTTAGCCAAGGAGGCATGCTGACCGATTTGACATTAGGGTGCGTACGTTGAAGACTCGAATGTGTAGTTTGGAGCGAGATTTCAGTAGACCTGAGACAGTATTTTGCGCACTAGAGCCGTTAGTCATGGTCGCAGTTGAGGAGGAAGTTTAGGTTTGAAAGTCGACGTAGGAGAGATGATAGGAATTGAAAAGGGAGGTTGATTATGAATACAGTGGTCTTGAGTGCTGTTAAAGGTATGAGGGCGGTTATCACTGTCCGGTTGCACACACCGTAGAAGGATTCTTCTAGAGGTACCTGAAAAGGAAATTGGGCTAGAGTTGGTCTTATTGATCTGAGAGCGTGACTGCGGTGCCGAAGGGACAACTGCTTGAGGTCGGTCACATACGACTTGTTTGTGGGCATTTCTGTGTTAGTTCCGTACTTGCTGAGACCTTACCGCCGGAGAATGAAATCCGTGGGATAAGATGAGTTGTGTATTTTTAGGGTCAACCTTTTCTAACCTCACCCTTCTATTGTGGGAAGGCAGTATCATTGCTATGCTGGTTGTCTGAGAGAAACCCCTTACTGCTGTCACACGTTTTTACAGTTAGTAGTGCAACTTCACCCTAGGACCTTGGGTTTGCTGCTTTTAGTCGTACCGCTCTTCAACCGACCTGTCAGTCATTGTAGAACCTTGAGGAACGATTGTTCCAGCCAGTATAACTCGGTTGCTTCATCACGATGGGCAAGCCCGACCACCACGTCAAGGTAGCAACAACGGCCGGGAAAACATTTACCATGTGCTTAAGTCGGTACGGGTCCGAATTCATCTTACCTAGCAACCAACAAGTTGGATTGTGAAGCAAGATCCTAAAGTTTCTGCACCAGAAATAGTTTCTGATAAGGATGTCACATTTTTATAAAAGATAGGGTTGGTCAACTTACCTGCTCGGTTCCAGCCATAAACTTCGTTGGCATTGTAGATTCGTACTCCAGTGCATACGCACCCTGAGCACAAGAAATGTCTTGTTTTTTGGTAGGGTCAAGGTAAAGAAACTCTGTAGGTTCAGACATCTTTCTAACATCCCACCAGAAAACTTGTCCATCGGTCCCAGTGGAGAAACACTCAGTACCAGTTTTCGATTGTATCCACAGCGTTTTCCAGACAGGATCTCTATGACTATGCTCAACTGGAGATAATTCAACTGGGAGTGAGCCCCTACGCCTGTCCCAGAAAGCTAAGTTTTGAGAATGTGACGAATTCAAATATTATTTACCCAACTGTCCATTGTAACATCCCCCAATTAACGTATGAGAGTCTTTAGGGTTGTATTCTATACAAACAAGAGGAGAAGCTGGTTTAAGTATCAACTCTGGTCTATTGGGATTGTTTAAGTCCCATATATATGAATCATTCGATAGGGACTGAGATTGAAACTCCGTGTTACAGTAAGCAACTGCTAATTTCGTTGGACCATCTGTAAACCAGGATAAGTAGGCAACGCTGCGCTTATAATCGTTTATGTCTCTAAATCATCAAAATATAAAGATGAACTTGTTTCACTTTAGAACGTTTATAGTCTTTGCAGATAGGGAATCTTCAGAAGCATTTAGATACACGTCATCGAAGTAGTTCTCGTATATGTTTAGGGCATTATTTTGTTTAATACAATGTTCCATAATCTGTAATGATAATAATTATGAAAAGGAACATACGTTTCCTAGTTTATGAACTGTCGCAATATAGACTTCTTCTTTCTCAACTTTCTTTCGATATCTAATTACCTGATCAGGTTCCTGCGGATTGACATCTTTCGGCCAGCCACCCTCCGTGTGATTCATTCCATGTGTTTCTGATCTGTACCTTTCGGTATTGGCTTCGTGTTCAGACATTTCTTGTGAGCACTGAACACCTTTGTCTACAGGATTCATTTCGATAAACTTTTGAGACAACTCTGCATCCGGTAATATTTCTATCAGGACTTCAGCATTTTTGTCGCTTAAGTTACACTGCCTCCCGAATTCAGAGCGTTTTTTAGAGTAAACATAACTTGCTTCCATTTTTCAATTTGTGCGGTCGTTTGGTATCAGTGGTATCCAACCTTGTAAACACTAAAACAAACATAAAGTACTACATAAAAAGTCTGCAGTCGTAAAAATAGTAGGTCTCTCGATCTTTTAAATTTTTAAGTAATGTTCTCTAGGTAAGGTTTAGATTATTACTGAAGGCATTCACTTATACTGGTGTTACAACCTGTTCGAATCGAACATTCCATGTAATTCATCAAGGTACTGAAGTAAGAAGGTCTGAGCAAATATGAGAACCACAAAGGCATCAATTAACCATCAGCACCAGGAAGCGTTTCCAACAATGTTGCTCAACTAGATGAAAGACTCAGTTGTTTTCAGGAAGATTTGGGAGGAAAAATAAATGCCGAAAAACTGAAAAGAAAGGTATTTAATCAACTTGCGGATGAAATTAGGAAACTAGAGAGACATCACACTACTCTCAGAACCAGGAAGGGATTTCAACAGAGTGTTGCCCAACGAGATGAAAAAATCATTGTACGCCCACAAACGACCAATCTTTATTCACCCCACCCCGACCACACATCATTAAGCGAAATATATTGCAGGTCGAAATGCTTTTTCTATTTCGCTCCTTTGTACAAGTTCAAGCAAAATCAAAGAGGATGACGTTTCACCCATGAAAAATATGCTGGTGAACGCCGTTGATTTAGACAACCTGAAACTGTCATTACACAATTTATTTTAGTATAAAATAAAGGGCGTCATCACTAAAATGATGAGCCTCAGTTCAATAGCAAAAGAAATCTCAGACCTTTCATGGCTATTATGAGAGTATTAAGTTATTTTCAAACAAATATATTAGATGAGACATACCAGTTTAGAGGCAAGGTGAAATTGGTACAAGTGCTACAGGATTTACTGTTATAAGTCACTCATTAAGGTTGATGTTGTTATAAGGCAGATTGGTTATAAAAACAGGAGGATAAATTTTCTTATACAAGAATATGAATGTTAGTAGACTTGAATGTTCACTATATGGATTGAGAAAGCGTTGCGACAAACGACGTGTGGTCGTGTATGAATGCAAGTAAAGTTCACTCGTTGAACGACAATACTGATCGTTTTACTGTTTGCCGTATGTCCTAGTACTTTAATTCTAGGTGCGAAGTGAGGGAAGTCTAAATGAAGTGAAGCTTTCATGACCGTCTAACATGTTAATGTCTAAAATCTATGTCCATTAATCTTTAAGCCATGATCAGCCGACATCTCTATTCGGTAGCCAATAATCAATTTCATCCTTTCTCCTAAGTAACGATTGTATGCCAGATACATCTAATGTGTTGGTCGTATTGTAGTCGTTACTCGTCAGTCCAAGAAGTGAAGAACAGGAAAACATAACAGACCACCGTTGTTGCCACTCTATGTAGATCCAGTTCACCGTTTGGGAGAAAATCATTGCTATTATCGCTGTTACCATGACCGATTTTTACACAGCAACCCTAACCCCACAGAAGTCCGAGTCAAAGTGTTTTTAATATGATGGTGGATTACACTATGTCGAGGTGAATCTTATTCATAAAGTCACAGATTTAATTTTTATTTAAAGAATATTTATGATTAAGGAGAACTATGAGACCCATCAAAATACAAATCTCTTGTACTTCTATGAACAGAGGCCATCAGTTTAATAATTTACTCATCTGGTACAAAAATAAATAAGGAAACAAATTCTGTGCTTTCCTGGAAATTACTGTGATAGCCAAGATTATACTGACTTGTCTCTGAGCAATGTAAGAAGTAAAGAGATGCGTTTTAATCCAAACGATAATAAAACAATTGTTTGATGGTGTTTGTGGTATTATTCAAGCACAGACATAGATATAAAATATATAACATACTTCAGTGGCCCCAGCTTTAAACGTACACACGAACATCTGCTATATATTGAGTAAGTTGAATAAGGACTCAATACTGGTTTCTTGTTGAAGAAAAGAACTATTCTTTACCAACAAAGAATATTCTATTTACAAGCGACCGAACAAGTCGATCAGATACAAGAATTCAATCAATAAAACACAGTTTGATGAACCCCAAGTCTTTGGGACCAAATGGTCTAAAAATTAAGGTATTGTAAAACACACATTAACAGCAGTGCAATGATAGCACCAAATTATATTCAGTTATAATCTGATGCGAACCAAGAATAAACTTTACAACAGTGAATGAAGAGGTTAAGTTGAGATTTATAAGCTTGTGTCCTTCAGATAAAAAAATGTATGTATTGTGAAAAGATTTTAGGGATTTGATGTCATTTGAATAGCATGATTGAATTTAAACAACAAATCACTTGTCTAGCAGGTGATATTTACGGCACTATTTGTATAGAATCAATTAGGAAGATTCATCTGAACCAACGATATAGGTTTACGATTGATTGATCAATGGGTGAAGATTACTGTAATGCATGTCAGACCCTTCTTAGTGCGGATCGAATCCTATCGACCAAATCGCAATGTGGCCACTAGTCTAGGTGACTCGACACTGCGTGTACAGTGCTGGAGGTAGTCAATAGGAAACCCTGGACACGAGTTTCCTGCTACTTGGCACTCGTCGGCAAGACGTTCCCGTAGTCTTGAGCAAACCCTGTAGGCAACACATCGGATTTCAGGATATCCTATGTTAACCTCTCAATAGGTCAACTAAATTTTCAAAGGTTTTCCTTTTTTTGGGAGTGCTAACACAATATACATCATCGAGTTTCTCATTTTGTCTGCAGGAATATTTTTGTACTTTCGTTAATTTTATAACGCCTGAGTTTGATGCTGTGATACTTAAGTATGCTGAAAAACTAACGTTATTAAGGGTTTTGTTATTGAGCCTCATGACTTAACAAGATCACACATCATGTGTATTTCCGATAGCACACCGTTGCACCATGCTAAATCAGGAAAACGTTTTATCAAGTGTATTTTATGTCATTCTATAGTGATCTTAGATATTTTATTTCTTGGGCTATGCTCTATTTTGTTCACGGGTTCAGCCTAAACTCAGAAATTACTAGTCAATATGTACAGACGTTTGTAATTATTAGCTCAGTTTGTCCTAAGCTTTTTGTTTTAGAGGCTTTCACGTCCTAGGATATTACAGCTAGAAAGACGGTCAGTCCTAGACCCCGACTTGAAAATTTTTTGTCCGAGATATCGTTGTACCCTTCCTCACGTAGAAGATCATGCAAAAGTGAATCACTAAGTAGGAAGGAGCAGTGTTATAATGCAAGTATTGATGGCAGTGGAAATACTCCACTTTCTAACAACACGATCTTTAAATCTGAATGCATACTAGCTTAGGAGACTTAGACTAAAGTTCAAATGATAGATGATAACTGATGAAGGTCGATAAGAGCCAGAACAATCATAATATTGAGACTTCCTGGTTCGGCGGTAAAGAAATGGTTGCCTTGTCTACTCTTTTCATATCTCATAAATTATTCCGTAATACCCCCCACTGTTTCGTACGGTGAGTCGGGAATAGGAGTGATGTGGCTACATGGAAGCATCATGTAGACTGCACAGTTATGCTGCAGCCAGCCAACTAAATTATAATGGATCCATCGGTCTACCAGCATAAATATGCTTATTACAAAATCTAATGGTTTTGTAAAATTAATTAAGAGGACCAGGGGTTAATTTTGATGGTAATTAATATTCTTTACCAACGATATACTTTAGAAGTTTTTTCGGATTTGTCTAGGCAATGATAGTTTTGCAGTCGTAGGCCATCCACAGATCCTAGTTTGTGTGACGTTAAGTAACTAAATATAAGCTTGAAGTCTTTAATACTTATCTGTGTTTCTCAGTGATAAGTTGCAGGCTTTATTATTAACATTGTTTGTTCAGTCCATTCTGCATTATTCGGAAAATCATTACCGAGCTACTTCTAGTCATCAACGCACAAGCATGGCTTACCTTTGAGGAACATCCGGCATAAAATGTCCATGTATATCATGGAAAGCGGTGGACTCTATAAACACCACTGCGTAACTAAACATTATGCAAGATAAAGACGTCACGGCATTTATTTAAGCTAAATCAAGTCGCTTTTTCGAAAAAAATTTTGATCGACCTAGAATGGGTTACTAACTCTGATAGGTAACAATTTATCGATTAATAGATTGTGTGGCAATTTGCCGAAGTATAGATCAACAGTTAACTTGCCTTTGTTTTTAATGATCTAGTTGGAGAAATCCATATAGTATTTGGTTAACCACCTTGTTTTGAGTGGGTCATATTCTGAATCACTGAGCAAGGTTCTACTTAACAGATGGTCGGGTAACTAATAAGTTATGAAGTTGCTGACCGATTACGCGAAAACAGTGAGGGTGATTCCAATTCCTCTATAGTTCTGAATAAGGCTTTTGGTTTCCGCTTTGTGTTTAGAAGCTATAAAATGAGGAACCACTGCAGTTCCCATGACGCGAATTGAGAACATAAATGACTGATACAAGCGGGGGTTTGTACACACAAACACGACAAACTTAGTCAAAAATATGCACATCTGTACACTGAATTCCACAAAAATAAGCTATTAATTAGAAAAACTCACGCATGAAACTATAACGAAACCGCATGCTGCGTGTCATCCTGAGAAATGTTGAAGTCAACTTAAGCAAACAATTATACATTGAATGAACATAACATTCGAATAAATCAATGTTATACTGAATATGTTATCATACAGGGTAATCGCCGTACTTACATATCAGCTCATCTTACCTCTCTTAGTGGAGAACAGGGTGTTCACCAACAATCGCCATCCAATCCTGTCTTGGTCAATCCTCTCCAGTTGCTAATCGTCTTTTTCACGTCTGCTTCCAATTCTCGGCGCAGTGTATTCTTTGGCCTTCCTAATTCCAGTTTCCTTTCACAATTCAGAGTAAGCGCTCACCTCGTGATGCAATTTGGTGGTTTCCGTAATGTATGTCCTACCCATTTCGAACGTCTTTTCCTAATTTCCTGTTCAACTCGAAGCTGGTTTGTCCTCTCTCACAGTAGACCGACAGACACTAAGTATCTTAGGTAGAAAACTATTTATAAATACTTGTAGCTTCTTGATGATTGTTGTAGTAGATCTCAGCGTTTCAGCTCAATACAATAGGACTATCTTGACGTCCATATTGAAAATTCAGACTTTGATATTGGCTGACAGTTGTTTTGAGTTCCATGTGTTCTTGAACTGTGTGTATGCAGTTCATGCTTTGGCGATACTCGCCTTTACGTCAGCATCCGATTCTACACGTTCACCAATGATGCTGTCCAGGTACGTGAAAGATTCCACCTGATCCAGAGCTTCTCCACCAAATGAGATTGTGTTGATGTTACCTGTTTTGTGCTTGAGGTTCTTGTTTTTACACTTGTGTATGTTGAGGCCTACTAATGTGAAGGCTGTTGCTTCACTAGTTATCTTCATCTGCATTCGCTCGTCTGCATGGAAGAAAAGAACCAGGTCGTCCACGAAACCGAATCTTCTAGTTGATTCCGTGCTGTCCATTATAGTCTGTGCTTCCCTCCAGATGTCGAGGTTTTCATAATCCAGTCAACTAATGGGAGAAAGAAAAAGGTGGATGGTTGGTCAATTACATTGATAAATTTCTACTATTAACAGGCCTTACGTTTCATGCAATCGATTGGGTACCTTTAATAAAACAAAAGGGCACTGTTGCCGGCTTATTTTCCTATAAGTTCCACGTGAATAACCCTCACGGTCATTTTAGTTGGGCCTATCTTTCCTGAGTTCTAGACACTATTTGATTCAGCTACAAAAAATACTTCGGTTCTCCTATTTTCTTAATTTACAGTATCCTACGTGGTTGTAGTCAACGTGCAATCATCTGCCGTGTGACTAAATAAGCGCCTGACAGCTTAAAGCTATATTGTTCGTTTATCACAATGCTTCCGAGCTGTACATTTTATAATGAGCTTCCCTCCGGATATCGAGGTCTTCATAATCCATTAAATCACCATAAGAAAGAGACAGGTGGAGTGTAAGTAGCCCTGTTTGACTGATCCTCACTTGAGGTGCGTCTGTCAGCTGTCTTCTATGCACCCTTGTGCACTGAGTCCGTCATATAAATTCCGGATGATGTTGACGATCTTCTCGGGTACTCCAAGATATCGAAGAAGCCTCCATAACGTTTTACCATTCACACTGTCAAGTACGTTTTCATAATAAATGAAGTTGATTCATATTAAAGTGTTCCACTCAATCGACTGTTCAAAGATGATCCGTACTGTCGCGATTCGGTATGTGAACGACCAACCGTCACGGAGTCCAGCCAGTCGACCTCGATGTTCGGTGTCTTCTGAATTTTTCATTTCGTTGGGCGACATTCTGTTGAAATCCCTTCCTGGTACTGAGAGTAGTGTGATGTCTCTCTAGTTTCCTAATTTCATCCGCAAGTTGATTAAATACCTTTCTTTTCAGTTTTTCGGCATTTATTTTTCCTCCCAAATCTTCCTGAAAACAACTGAGTCTTTCATCTAGTTGAGCAACATTGTTGGAAACGCTTCCTGGTGCTGATGGTTAATTGATGCCTTTGTGGTTCTCATATTTGCTCAGACCTTCTTACTTCAGTACCTTGATGAATTACATGGAATGTTCGATTCGAACAGGTTGTAACACCAGTATAAGTGAATGCCTTCAGTAATAATCTAAACCTTACCTAGAGAACATTACTTAAAAATTTAAAAGATCGAGAGACCTACTATTTTTACGACTGCAGACTTTTTATGTAGTACTTTATGTTTGTTTTAGTGTTTACAAGGTTGGATACCACTGATACCAAACGACCGCACAAATTGAAAAATGGAAGCAAGTTATGTTTACTCTAAAAAACGCTCTGAATTCGGGAGGCAGTGTAACTTAAGCGACAAAAATGCTGAAGTCCTGATAGAAATATTACCGGATGCAGAGTTGTCTCAAAAGTTTATCGAAATGAATCCTGTAGACAAAGGTGTTCAGTGCTCACAAGAAATGTCTGAACACGAAGCCAATACCGAAAGGTACAGATCAGAAACACATGGAATGAATCACACGGAGGGTGGCTGGCCGAAAGATGTCAATCCGCAGGAACCTGATCAGGTAATTAGATATCGAAAGAAAGTTGAGAAAGAAGAAGTCTATATTGCGACAGTTCATAAACTAGGAAACGTATGTTCCTTTTCATAATTATTATCATTACAGATTATGGAACATTGTATTAAACAAAATAATGCCCTAAACATATACGAGAACTACTTCGATGACGTGTATCTAAATGCTTCTGAAGATTCCCTATCTGCAAAGACTATAAACGTTCTAAAGTGAAACAAGTTCATCTTTATATTTTGATGATTTAGAGACATAAACGATTATAAGCGCAGCGTTGCCTACTTATCCTGGTTTACAGATGGTCCAACGAAATTAGCAGTTGCTTACTGTAACACGGAGTTTCAATCTCAGTCCCTATCGAATGATTCATATATATGGGACTTAAACAATCCCAATAGACCAGAGTTGATACTTAAACCAGCTTCTCCTCTTGTTTGTATAGAATACAACCCTAAAGACTCTCATACGTTAATTGGGGGATGTTACAATGGACAGTTGGGTAAATAATATTTGAATTCGTCACATTCTCAAAACTTAGCTTTCTGGGACAGGCGTAGGGGCTCACTCCCAGTTGAATTATCTCCAGTTGAGCATAGTCATAGAGATCCTGTCTGGAAAACGCTGTGGATACAATCGAAAACTGGTACTGAGTGTTTCTCCACTGGGACCGATGGACAAGTTTTCTGGTGGGATGTTAGAAAGATGTCTGAACCTACAGAGTTTCTTTACCTTGACCCTACCAAAAAACAAGACATTTCTTGTGCTCAGGGTGCGTATGCACTGGAGTACGAATCTACAATGCCAACGAAGTTTATGGCTGGAACCGAGCAGGTAAGTTGACCAACCCTATCTTTTATAAAAATGTGACATCCTTATCAGAAACTATTTCTGGTGCAGAAACTTTAGGATCTTGCTTCACAATCCAACTTGTTGGTTGCTAGGTAAGATGAATTCGGACCCGTACCGACTTAAGCACATGGTAAATGTTTTCCCGGCCGTTGTTGCTACCTTGACGTGGTGGTCGGGCTTGCCCATCGTGATGAAGCAACCGAGTTATACTGGCTGGAACAATCGTTCCTCAAGGTTCTACAATGACTGACAGGTCGGTTGAAGAGCGGTACGACTAAAAGCAGCAAACCCAAGGTCCTAGGGTGAAGTTGCACTACTAACTGTAAAAACGTGTGACAGCAGTAAGGGGTTTCTCTCAGACAACCAGCATAGCAATGATACTGCCTTCCCACAATAGAAGGGTGAGGTTAGAAAAGGTTGACCCTAAAAATACACAACTCATCTTATCCCACGGATTTCATTCTCCGGCGGTAAGGTCTCAGCAAGTACGGAACTAACACAGAAATGCCCACAAACAAGTCGTATGTGACCGACCTCAAGCAGTTGTCCCTTCGGCACCGCAGTCACGCTCTCAGATCAATAAGACCAACTCTAGCCCAATTTCCTTTTCAGGTACCTCTAGAAGAATCCTTCTACGGTGTGTGCAACCGGACAGTGATAACCGCCCTCATACCTTTAACAGCACTCAAGACCACTGTATTCATAATCAACCTCCCTTTTCAATTCCTATCATCTCTCCTACGTCGACTTTCAAACCTAAACTTCCTCCTCAACTGCGACCATGACTAACGGCTCTAGTGCGCAAAATACTGTCTCAGGTCTACTGAAATCTCGCTCCAAACTACACATTCGAGTCTTCAACGTACGCACCCTAATGTCAAATCGGTCAGCATGCCTCCTTGGCTAAAACCCTAGAATCTCGTACCATCGATGTGTGCTGTCTCCGAAACACGCATACAGGATCCTAATGTGATCATTCACTTGATCTCGCCTCTCCAAAACGTAGAGCCAACGAGATACACCCTCCGTTGATCTGGCGACCCGATGGCTAGTTCTCATGGATCGGCAGGTGTAGGTATAGCACTAAGTATGAGGTCAGAACAAGCACTATTAGAGTGAATCCCCGTTAACAGTCGTCTATGTGCTATTCGGCTAAACGGCTCCGTAAGAACTCGGTAGGATAGGGACACACGTCGTTGCCTCTTCGTATTTTCTGCCTACGCACCCACTAATGGCAGCCCGGATGAAGTGAAAGATGATTTTCACGCTCAGAAATAGTACTCGTAGTAGGTGAATTTAATGCCCAAGTAAGTAGCTTAAACGAAACAGAAACACATTTAAATGGGCATTTTAGTGTTCCGGCTCAGCGAACAGATAATGGTGATCGTCTTCCTCAACTGTGCTCAGACAATCATTTATTTATAGTGAGCACTAATTTAAGCAGAGATATCAGAGAGAGCACTATTTTAAGCATAAGGAGATACATCGTCTAATATGACGGCCCCCTGCACCAAACCAACAATGGACACCAATATACCATATTGCCATTAGTTATAGTTGGAAAGGGTCGATAGAAGATTGTCGTTCGTTCTGAAATACCTGCTAGCACCTCACTGGACGCAGAAAGGCCACACTAAGAAGACGTATAAGAATTGAATAAAGTGAAGAGAAAACCAAAAGTAGATCCTAAGAACAACTAGAGTCACACTTAGGTAGTTCTGAAATCGAGGATAGCCCAGAGTTGAACGTCATCCCACCTGACTGGTCACAATCACTGATTGTCTCAATATATAAGAATGGATCAAAATCATCCTCTGACAACCATAGAATGATTAGTTTGACTAATATAGCATCTAAAATACTAGCCTTAATAATTATCGGACGCCTAATTAAGACTCGTGAACTGAAAATACGAGAAAATCAGGCTGAATTCAGATCTGGTCGTGGCTGCGTCGATCACATATTCAACACTCGTCAGTTTCTAGGATACAGGCATGCTTATCGGCGTTCGACAATGAATTAAAAGCAGCATTTGATTCTGTAAACCGAGAGGTTCTGTGGCAGTGTCTGTCATTGAAAGGTGTACTTCAGAAGTGCATAAACCTTGTGAGGGCTCTTTGCTCGAACACTAATAGTTGAGTCAGAGCTTATGGCGAACTGTCATTCGAGTTTGCAACTTCAAGTGGTGTCTGGCAAGCTGTTTACTATCTCCATCCCTGTTCAATTTCATCGTAGGCCTACCGCTGGGAATAACGTCCTCGTCATCTGAATTTTCAGGAATCGGTCTTCTTCCAGGAGGTCCACTTATCGACTTAGAATATGCAGATGACATAGTCCTGTTTGGTGAGGATGCTGATAAAATGCAGTCTTCTGGTAGCACCGAGCGACAATGCCAGGATGTTTGGGATGCGCTTCTCCCCTCCAAATGCACGTTGTTGCTTCAGAACTTGCCTGCGTCAACACCTGAACTAAGGAAAGAGAGTGAAGTAGTCGGAGGTGTCAACAACTTTACTTATCTTGGAAGTCTGGTCAGCCGTAGTGGGTTGGTGTCTGACGAAATCTCAGCACGGATCCGAAAAGCTCGTCTGGCTTTTGCCAACCTACGTCACCTATGGTGAAGGCGAGATAGCCGTCTATCAATTAATGAACGAGTATACTGCGCGGCAGTTCGTTCTGTTCTACTTTACGACTGTGAAACGTGGCCATTAGGAGTAGAAGATACTCGTAAGCTTCTAGTATTTGACCACAGATGCCTTAGAAATATTGCCCGCATCTTTTGTGGCCGTCAGATAAGTAATAGTGAGGTTAGATGCAGGGTATTAGGGAATTATGGTAAATCAGTCGTTGTGATTGTAAATCCTCATCGACTGAGATGTTAAGGCAATGTGTTACGCATGCCCAACCACCAGCTTTCGCTGTGTGTAATGCTGACTATTTTTGGATACGAATGGAAGAAGATTACGTTTGGCCAAACCAAAACGTGGCATTAGTCCTTGAAGTCACTATCGTCTAGTCTGAGCCATACTTATAGTGATACGGAGTCTGTGTAATTTTTTTGTGTAAACTTTTCAGTCGCGGAGCTTATAGTCGATGAATAGCTGATGAAATAATTTTTACTTCCAGCATTTGATCAATTGTCCACAGATCTAGCGTCCACATTATTGTCATATGATACATTTCGCTTTGATTTTTGTTTTGGATTTTTTTCATTATCCACAACGTTTTCAGAATTATTAAGAGCTTTCTCACTGTGTGGATTATTTCGTTGTCCCACATTACTAGATAACTTCTGTTTCATGGTCATTAATAGGTTTTTACCTTCATGCTGAAAACCTAATGATTTCGGCACGTTTCGACGATGTTTACCTGAAGTAGCGTCAAAGTCGTTTTTAGATTTTTCTGTTAATCCATTACTATTTTCCCTTGATATCTCGGTTTCATAAATAGATCCACAAGTATGTTGTTTTTCTACGGACATCGGATTTTCTAAGTGACTACTACCAGTGTTTGTTTTAGTGAATTGAAAAGTAGATTTCATCTTCAATAAATGTGATACATAATTACAACAAATCTTGTAGTCATCTTTTGTTCATTATTTATAGACATATAACCAAAGCCCTCTCTACACTCAAAATAAATAAAACAATTTGAAATTACTCACAATTGTGGTCTGAATATGCTAATCAGGTTCATTTATGTCCATCAAGGTTAAATTGTTATGATAACCAATCAGACTAACATGTTATATTATTTCGATTAATCAGCCAAAAATAGAACTGATTAAGTGTTTTTTGCCTACATTTCTAAAAACGAAACAAATTAATGTGGATACGAACATCGTAAACTATGTAGAAGTGTTATTTCTTAGTTTGCCAATAATTGTATTGCAATATCACAAGGTATTTAGTTTTATGTTGTCATCACAGTTAAATATTTCAGAACCAGTTCGTTATTCGAAAACTAACTAAAATCCGGATAATTAGAATGGCAATTGCTGAAGGATTTCTAAGTTCTCACGTGTGTCAAGTGTTTAGAAAACCCTTATCTAACCACTTTTTCCGTTTTGCAAACATTGTTGATGAATAATATTTTGTTATTTTAGGAATCCGAAATATAACTAATCCATGAAACAAATAAAGTCCTGAAACTATGGATTTAGAGGAATAAACATTTGGCAGATTGCTTACTAGTATTCAATCTGAGTAAGGAAATCCAGTGTTGTGGGATAATGTGTTCTACATGAAGTTACTAAACCTGCAAATATCACCCATTTCATTTGGTTTCGTGTATTCTGCACACGAAGTGAGGAACGTTAAAAGGGATCATTGTTATGTCCCGGTACTTCGTAACGTTCATAGCGTTTGCAAATGTTCAGGTATGGAAGATTCGTAAGATCTGAAAATAGATTGTCCAACAAATATATAGCCTGGAAACACTTGACGGCTGCTTCGTCCCATTGTGGGACTCCTCAGCAATGCGCGCTTGCGGGATTCGAAACCAGGGCCATCAGCCTTGCGCTCGAGCGCTAGACCACTGAGCCGGCATCCAACGGTGCTAATGTCTAACCTCAACCAATCTACGGCATTGCGCGACCATCTTCCATTGTACTGAGGTAGATACATTTTTCTATAAGACACGGATTAGCTCCACTGGTCACGGCTTCTAATGAGAACTACGAGAATTCCTTCACGAAGCTAGTCACTAGTGAGAACACGGCAATTATCAGTACAGGGTCGTGGAGATTATCTTTTTTTTATTGAGATCATGAACCGATTGATGCTAAACCACCACTGAAAACCTGGAAGCACTGGACGAATTTATTATCAAGCTGTACATTTGTTTATTGTGGCTGTTTATTCTTCCTCATAATATTTGGGATTGTTATTGATCAGTCTCTTTTTGGCATATTTGTATCCTTTGCAGATTACCTAGATACTACCAGTAATTCACGAGCATTATATAGAAACTGATCGATTGCAATCATGAACATCAATGAAGTGGTTGAACACAACCAATACAGACGAATTAAACTTCACCCCGTTACACTAGCTATTGGATATCTGGACACAGTGATTAAGTGGATAACGCAAGGGCGTTTGAAGCGAATGAGTGAACATGAACTCTGGGATGCAGATACATTCAGCTGACAATTCTCAAATACATTAACACCGTTGGATGCCGGCTTAGTGGTCTAGTAGGTTGGGCTTTCGAGCGCGAGACTGAAGACCCTGGATTCGAATCCCGCAAGCGCGATCGTAGATGAGCACTGCTGAGGAGTTCTTCAATGGGACGAAATGGCCATCCAGTGCTTCCAGGTTTCCAATGGTGGTCTAACATCAATCGGTTCATGATCTCAATCAATAACTGAATAATCTCCACAACTCTATACTGAAAATATTTAATCTTCCAAAGAACTATCATGAAAAGGTAAATCAAGTAATAATGAACTATTTTTTACGTTGAAATATGGTGTCGAAATTATTGTTACTATTATACTCGGAAAATTCTGGTAAATGTTTAAAATAATCAAAACACTTTGATTTTTGATCGTATTCTTTGGAAATTTTCAAATGCTGTTCAATGGGAACTGGAACCATTTATCTAAATAAATATTACTTTTAACAGTCACTTATTTGAAATTAGACACAGTTTATAATGTGCTACGGACATAAATTCGAATTTAACTCGTACCACCGACACTGCTGATTTAAGCATGTACCAGGTATGAAATTTCGGAAACTATCTTGGTAAATAATTTAAAATACAAGTAAACTATAATCACATTGACACTGCATGGAGGAAAATTTTCAGCAATTTTGCTTGACAAATGTTTACTTCTAAAGTTTTTTGTATTTTCAACTCGATTCAGAATATTGAGTCCTTAGAAGAATTTGTTTAGCAGTTTGGAATTTACAACTCAGAACACCAAGTTTTACCTATATATCAAACCTTTTAATACAGAGAAATGTTTCCAATTGATAAATAGCCGTGTGCTGTAAACTAAAATTTAGTAAACACTCTCAATTAAGTACCTTCATAACTAACTCATTGAAATATATATTCGGTGATATCCCATTGTTGAAGGTGATACACTGATATTTAGAACCTAGATATAGAAAACGGATATCTGTTCAAGATAAATCTGGAGCAAGAACGCTTCAGGTATTATAACTGCATCCCAAATGTAGTACAGGAGTAGTAGGTAAAACCAGAGTGGTAAATTAAAAACTTTCAACTGTGAGGTTTATTAGTAAAAGCCTTACCGAACACAAAGGACATAATATGAATCAGATACTATATCAATAACTGATCAGCAGTCAAAGCAAATGAAACAAGACAAAGCAAGTAACTAAAACAAGGTAAAAGTTCAGTCATAACACACAAGACCAAATGACCTTGACTAAATTCACTTCGTATTTTTGACCAGGGACATCTAAAATACTATAAAAATGTTATATTTTCTGTACTAAAACGAATCTTTGGAGTAAAGTGCTTCTCACATATTTTGCGTCCTTTTCTCTTGTGCTCAGGTCGCTGTGTAGTTCTACCTTGGGAGTTACGAGAGTAGTTTGGGAACCGAATATAACATTCAGTTTGCAAGACTTATCAGTGGTGACGGGAAAACTACAATGAATGTTTCTTTGGAGCAGCTAGAAGGTTATATGGAGCGTCAAGAGAAGAGGTTTGAACAGTCCCAAATCAGAATCATGGAAGCCCTGATGCAGAAAATGTGCCTGTCCCAGCAAAACCCTGCTTCTTGGGAATCACAAGTATCTCATACTGATTCAGTCACTATTGCCATCCATGAATTTAATTTTGAGGGTGTAGCAGGCGCAACGTTTGATTCTTGGTTTGGGAAGTATGAAGATTTGTTCTGTATTCATCTTAGCAAACTTGATGACGCCCCAAAAATCAGAATACTTCTAAGAAAACTTGGGACGACGGAACACGAACGTCATAGTAAGTTCATTCTCCCGAAGAACCCACGAGACTTTAGTTTTTATGAAACAATTGAAACCCTGTCTCAAATCTTTGGAGAAAAGTTGTAGAATTATGGTCTACTATGATATTAGTACTACTCTAATAATAGACCTAATCCTAAAATTTAAGATTTGTCATGATATAACTGCCTAATCTATAAGATCTTACGTGGAAGTCACATCATCGTATACACCAACTCACTACATTGTAACAACTACCAATGCATGATGAAGAACAAGCTTAGGCTAGAGAAAGAACAATATACCTAATATGAATAAAAGATACAAGGTAACATTCAGAAGGACCACGCTTGCAAGGTCGAGTCATGCCATCCGAACAACTCCATTTCATTTAACTCTTTTTTCCCGCCTTCTGCATCGTTAAGTATTTCTCCGCGTTAAACATTGAATATTTGTTTTCCGAGCTGTCTCGTGTTCAGCTTTGAGGATTGTGTGGTTATGGTCCAATGCCACTTACGGTCATCTCTATTTAATATCCGTTACCAATGATTGAAGACAACGAACGAACCAGATAACTGAGTGAAACATGCAGGAGTTGTGAACCGAGAGTTTGAGATGTTCAAATTGTCTTCCATGACTGAAGACCAGTGTAAATGCCTAGTATTTGTAAGTAGCCTGCGTTCACCCGAAGATGCTGAAATACGAACAAGAATCCTAAGCAAGCTCGAACACTGTCCCCAAATGACCCTGCAGCAAGTAGCTACCGAATGCCAAAGATTATTGACTTTAAAGCATAATACCTCGATGGTAGACAACGGTAACCCGTTCCCTTACGTTAATGCAGTCGAGAGAAAAGTCTTATTAGGTTCCAGCACGCAGAATGATAATAATGACAGCGATAAACCATCATCCCCATGCTGGTTATGTGGTGTTTAGCATTTTAAAAGGTTTATTCCTTTTAAAACTCTTCGCTGTACTGTGTTCTATAAATGGGCACAAAGAAAGTCGTTGCAGGACACTAAGACGCCGTCAATCGGAAGTGTTATAAAAGAGGCGAGTCATTCGAGCATCATATCGGAGCTTCGTTATTCCGTTAATCAGCTTGACTGCTGTTCTCCGAACCACTTTCAAATTATCACTGCCTTTTTAAACACAGTCTAGCGGCTTACATCCAGCACTGATGTTTAGGGGGCACGAATACTGTATACAAATTGAAAAAAGGTCTAGTGCCAACATTGCTAAGGACCCTACGCATTGTCCGTAAATTTCTAAAGCGTTTGGCGGCTATTGCACTGTAGCGTGTAGTAGTCTTTAAGTCTTGGCTAACGATGACTCCAAAGTCACTGTGTATCTGGACAACAGGTAGCTCAGTGTTATTCATCGTGTATGTCCCTGTATCTTGATGACCGATATTCGTCACAATACAGTTGGAAGTACTGATCGGCAACTGCCAGGTTTAAGACCATTCGGATAATTTCTCCATGTCATTTTGGAGTTCTGAGCTATCACTCTTACTTGGTATCGCTCTGCATATCTTGACATCGTCAGCATATCGTAATACCGATGATTATAACAGACGAGAAGGATCGTTCGCACA